CATCGTGTCGTGATGAAATCTGCACGTGTGAAGTCCCCAACCCGCATTGGGTCAGCGTGGCGGTTACTGGAACTCAGGCTTCTAATTTTTTTTACATCAGTTTCTGCTTCAATAAATTTATATAGATATTTTTATTTCATTTTTATTAAACCCTACCCTGTTGGGTAGGTACTCAACGTAAATTGAGCCTAAGCATTTTATTCTCTATCTGTTAAAGAAGACAATGTGCCGTAGAAATGTATTTAACATTGCCCTATATGATGAAATGTATAGATATTGTGAACTTAGCAATCGTAAAGAACGAGCTACTCTATTCTCTTGTAAGAATTATTTATGTAAACAAAACCACGAACACTGTGTACTCAGCAGGTTTTTACGTGACGTGACGATCCCAGCCACTTATCACTTCACCGTCAAATGGTACCTAGTATCTTAGCAACGACTATATTTTATTTCATTTTAAATTTTCATGAGTTTTCAGATTACGCAGTGCCGGGTGTGTGGCGCACACGGCCAATTATGGTAAAAGCAAGTCAAAATCAGTTAAGTAACTTAATACCATACCGACATAAATATTTCTCCATAATATTTTATAGAACAAAAATTCGTAACACTTTTTAATGGTCAGTGTTCAAAGAGAACGGACCCTTATCATAATGCATAGTAAAATCTACCTGCAAGACTGAAATATCAAATAATACTAGCATTCACATGTTAATTATTTGAAAAAAGAATGATTCTTCGCAACTGTCGTAACAGTTTTCAGTGAAAATTGAAACTTCTAGATATTAATAGCAGTTAGGAAGTGATTGTACGGACAACAGCGCATCAAACTACACATTTTTGTTCGAAAATCGCCTCCAGTGCAACGGAACAAGATACGTCAATGTGTAGCTTGATGTGCTGTTGACTGTACATTTTAACCGTGACAAAAACGGACTAATTACAGTGTTTACAGCAAAATTTATCCAGGATTTTAAATATACGGGCATGAGTGATGAATTCTTCCTGTTATGTTTATTGAGCGTTATAATTATTTTTCGATTGTAAATTAAATATAAATTCTCACCTTAAAAAAATTTATATGTGACTTAGTCATGACCTAGAAAGTCAATTATCGTAGGTAAAATTTGACAATCTCGTAACTAAAGTGCAATATCGTGCAATTAAAGCCTAAAATATAGTTTCTAGACTACAATTCTTAGTCATCAAAAAAGGTACAAGCATAGCTTGTCATAAATATCTAGTAATTCTGTTTTTTGTGCTTACCCCAAAGTTTATATTAATGAATGCACAATGTTTACGAATTCAGTCGACAATATGTTTCACATTTTGTAATACATTTTGTGTGTACATTTGTTGTATTGCAATACCCTATCGATCCACGTTGCTTCCATATGGCTTCCATCGCTATTCCCATGGACTCCTTAAAGAATTACTCGGTTTATACCATTTATAGCGACCATATTTGTTTTAAGTTTTTAATTTCATTCGTGATTACATGAAACCTACCTACGTATTTCAGCCGCTAAGCAGTAATGTGGGCAGTACTGCGTTCCTATTTTGAAGGGTAAAGGTGCAATTACAGGCGCATGGGACTTGTTAACTTAAATACGTCTCAGGATGACGGGCGCAGTGATAGTGCACCTCAGATCTGTAAATTAAAGCTCTGAGTGACTCTGCAACTGTTATGGACAGACGTGTCGCTTACCACCAGACGCACGACTTGTTCGTTCCGTCACTAGGTATCATAAAAAAAACGTAATCTACAAGAACTATGATTCTGAGACAATTCAATTTGTTGCATCAATTTTAAATCAATTCCCATTAAGTTGTTTGTATTTGATTCATCATATTTTTATTACATTTACTTCCATTCTTTAAAAGTATAGCCCAGTTGCAAGTATTTGACCTCTTCATGCCTAAGAGAGTCATTGCATTCAACTGCTCTTGAACTTGAATGAATTTATCCGAGTCACGTCTATCGAGTCAGCACCGACTCTATACCAAGTCCATATTTCGAGTTCGACCTCGCGTGCACGACCCTCTTCCAGTGAAAGTTTGCTATGCTTTGAATTGAAATTATTTTAAGAATCTTGTAATAAATTCTCAAGGCGTATACATTTTATTTTTCGCGCCGCATTCTTCGGCAACCATCTTTTGTTTTTGCTTGACCTTTGGATTCTTGGACCTTTTTTAAAAAGTGAAGGGAAGGGTTTATGTATGTAACTTTTATCAACATTCGCTCAATTTAGAGGCACCTGCAGGCTGATTTTAATTCAAATCGTAATTGATCCGATCGGGTAACCCATCTGAGTCTCGAAATCAGATGGGTTTTCGAGCGAGAAGATGAACCTGATTCCTACAATATCTTTCTAATTTGTGAGTTAAATCAACTGTCGTTCCGAGTTGAAATGTCAAAAGTTTCCAATCGGCCAGTTGTGAATCGCAATTATGCCCCTCATTATAATAATTTAAAAAAAATTATCGAACTCGCTGAAACAATAAAGTACCAAAAACCATTTTAGGTCAACTAAGAATTACATTTACATTTCGGGTTTATTCCAATTAAAATGTTCCACAACGCACTCTATCACCATTGAATAAAATTGCTTTGAAATATTTCATTTAATAAAGGCGATTTCAAGTATTTATTGGACGTATTTCATAGAATTCGCGTTCAATCATGACAGGTAGAAATTAAAACAAGACATAATTTTCATTGGCTTTGTCGAGAACGTAGTTTATTATCTCTGTTCGGCATATGGTTTAAAATTGATTAAATTTAGAATAAGTCAAGTGTCAAGCCAATTGTTATTAGTACCTTCTTTATCTAGTTTCATTAGGTTCAATAATATAAGACAGGACATTGCTACATATTTAAATTTCTCGTCTGTGTGCAAAGACAAACCTTATAAGTAATATTTAGATAAGTTAAAATTTTACTGCATTGACGTACTTTGCAAATTTTTTTTTACCAGATTTTAACGTTCACAATGTGATAAATGTTCGCGAATACCTTCAACATTCGTATTCGGCAAAGTAATAATTATCAAAATCAACGTATGGCATTTTAGTATCTATCATTGAAATATTTTTTGTAGAAAATGGTACATTTATAACTTTAAACACCTTTCGTTGATGTCTTCTATATTGATAAAAAATTAAAATTCTCGTGAAACTAAAATGCATTTTGCTAAATTATTGAAAAAGTATTTAGTATCGCACTTCAATCGAGCAACTTCCAAGCGGAATGCAGCACGAGTTTCACAATGATTTTCATCAAGGCAAATTTTACAACTTATCATGTAACTAAAATTACATAATGTTTAAAACAATAAATGACAACAATGTGTTCACAGACTTCATTAAATAAATCTTTTGAAGATTGAATGTGTAACGGCATTGAGATAAGATCACTGTGTGAGTTTTTAGATACATTGAAATGGCCGTAGTGTGTATATTTGTTGCCTAACAACGGAAAAAGATGACGTGAGATCCGTGGCGCATTTTCCCTCTCAAGCGTCGTCGTCAATATCGAAAAAACAAAGAGGAAAATTAGTATAAATAAGAATAAGTCTGCAACTTATTTCATACCGTTTTAAGACCACATTATAGATACAGGTAAAAAGTAGCTGGTGATGATGTTAATCAATGTCTTGAAAACCACGATTTTCACCGGCATTACCTATATACAAGTATTTGTCGATTTACTAGAAACCTTTACTTCATTGCAAGTTGTAGTAGCAGTAGAGCTCCTTGTGAAAGTTAGTCCAGGGATATACTGCCATCTTACCTATTCTGCCGCCAAGCAGTAATGTGAGCATTACTGCGTTCCGGTTTTGAAGGATAAGGTTGGTTAATTACACTACCCCTGTCACCGTCTGTTGACAAGTCCAACTTGTCAACAGACGGTGACAGGGGTAGTGTTGTGCCCCTCAGGTCTTTGCAAATAAAAGTTCTGGTAGCCCAGCAACTATTATGAACAGGCGTGTCGCTGGTGGTAACCAGGCGCAGGACTTATTCGTCCCATCATTTGGTATACATAAAAAAAGTAATGGAAGGCAAGTGATTCTACAAGCGCGCAGGTTTATAACAATAAAAATGTTGAATCATATTAGAATACTTACGAAGACTGTCAACTGTATTAACGATTATTTAATAGTATAATGCGATGTTTCATAGTTCTGGAAATAAATTATGCATGTGTGAGTGTGTAAATATTCATACTGGTTCGTAAAGCGTTGTTTACAACTTTCCATGGGAACTGCAAAAGCATTGTTCGACCGCGATGCGATAGCATATTTATCAATATGGTGTCAGATTCGATAGGCTTTCTCACGAGTATTATCCACAGCTGATGATCTTCGTTTTACTAATCAGCCATTTTCTTTGGTACGCTTATAAAACTTTGTATGATATGTTCTATTTTCGTTTTGGTAAAGTTTTTATATGAAATGGAAAACTAATCCGAAATATGTAACTATATAAATAATACGTTAAATATACGATGAAAATATATATTTAACGTTTCTATATTTAGTCTCAGTGAAAGAGAATTAATAAGGTGATAAAAGCATTAATTCCAACTGTTAATCAACTCGATTAAGATTCCAGTAAGATTTAAACGAGAGCAGTATAGAACGTGAAGAATTTTACCTACACTTCCGCGGTATAAACTTTCTTCCACACCGGTAATTGCAGCCAAACTTTATCCCACTTCTGACAAGAGAAAACAAGAAATTCTTTCATATGTTTTAAAGTAAATAAGGCTTGTTAGTATAAGAGAATGCTAGTTAACAATGTGATGCCATAATTCACATGTTCACGTGTAAACGAGACGCATAGATGATCTACGTGGAGAAACATCGCGAATGTGGCACAATGCATACGGACCCAATTAGAAGAGAATCCCACAAGAACCGTTAGTTAATAACCTGTAAGCCGTAATCATCATCACCTGACTACATCAACACACGGGTTTATAGAGTTGGAGTTACCGTTAAAGATCCGCGTTCGAGCGAGGTGCAGTCATATCAGAACTGAATCACGGTGCACTGTTGATAGATTGATTTGCATTGAACACTGGTCACGCACTGCACTAGTCACTGTCACTATTTCCGGCGCATAGCCGCAAGAGTCGCGAAGCCAAGGGTCGCGTCAGAGCGGCAGGGACAACCAAATGCGACCGAGCGTAAATTTTAACCTACCTGAAGCGCTTGCGTGTCGCCCGTCAGTTCACCGGACCGACACCGACTGTTTTATCGACGTGAACGCCGCCATGTTTAATTAAAACCTCCATTTTTTACCCCTTTTACATATTATCTTCTGACAAAAACTCACATGATACGTCGCTGTATAACCTACCACAAAATGAAGGTTCCCGTTAGTTTTAAACATTCTAAATATCTCTATAATTATAGCGTAAAAGCCTTATGCTGTATTATCTAAATTGTTAACTCCACCTGTTGGACGTTGAACGAATTGTGAAAAACGTTTACTTTACGGTAAGGTTTAGTTAAGTTAACACAAACGTTTCTAATTTATTTATAGTAAATTTTAATTTAATAAACTAGATCTATAATCACCTAATACAACAATACCCTGTTATACATGTAGATTAATTTTAATTCAAATTATTGTTTGGAAAAACGAACCGGTTTCATTACGAAAGGCTTCGACAAAGTATCAATGCCGATTGATTCAATTGAGGTAGCGTAGTACTTTGGACAGTTTTCCATAGATGGCGCTATAAGTCCTTTAAAGCCTTACTGTAACTGATGTTTGTAAAAGTTTTACAGTTTAAAAATAACCTTCATATTTCGTTTAAGAATTGCATAGAACTAATATGAAAAATCTAATTTGTACGAATTATCAACAGTCGTACAACATAAATGTTTAACATTGGCGACCTGTCCCAATCGTTAGTACAGTGGACACTGGATAGTGATGAAAGACACTCAGTCTTTTAAGGCGTTTTATAAAGACTCGATTCCATTTTACAGGTTTTTTCTTTTGAAGGTTTAATCTTATGACTCAAGACGTAAGGGTTTAAAGACTAGACTAGTCGTGAGGCGTTAAAAATTAGTCGATATTTTTTAAAAGACCTTAAAAGACTGAGTCTCTTTCATCACTAGCATTGGATAAGGAGCTCCCGGGTTCGGTTCCCGTTAGGATCAATTTGAGCAATTTGGTTCTGGTCTGTGTGCCACGGGTAGCGCCCCATTTTGCTCTGGTACAGGGAATTCCCTAGTTTGAAACTTTTTTAAATTGGTTTTGTTTCCTGACACGTTATTATTATAATAACTTTAAGAATATTCAGGTTACAACATCCACAAAATTAAAATAAATATTATTGCGCTTATTAAATACCGTTGATGTCTTCTGTATAAAAAAATAAGCGAAGCAATAAATAAAACAATTACGGTGCGGGGCTGTTGAAATTAAACTTTTAAAACTGTCAAAATCTTGCGATAATTTTGAACGTCATAATGAACACGTCATGAGGGACTAAACTTAGGGACTTATTTGTGAAAGTGATAAACTCGAAAATCTCACGAAACTACACATTTCTAGATTCTTTGTTCATATTCATATATTTATTGCATTTCTACGTGGTTTCCTTAGATCTAGAATACATTTAAAAAGTCTCTTAGACATGTAGCACCCCGCTGGGGCGCCATAATGTATCAGAAAGCATATTTATTTTTTATGACATCAAGTGACGGGACGAACAAGTTACGCGCGTGATGGTAAGCTACACGCCTGTCCATAACAGTTACAGTACCACTCAGAGCTTTAAATTGCAAAAATCTAAGGTGCACTACCCTGCGCCCGTCACCCTGAGACATAAGTTGACAAGTCCCATGTGCCTGCATTGAGTGGGGCCCTGACCTGTACAAAGAGTAAACAATGGCGATTTTAATTCGTTTAAACCGCGATTATTTCGTTTTATGATTGTTTTGGGGGAATATAGTTCGAAATGTCTGAGAACGAATTTGTCATCTTTCTTGATTTCTTTGTCATCAATTTGTATTTTATTGAAATAGAATGTTCCCTTTTTGTCTTTATATAAAGAGAATCCCGAAAATGTTTAAGTTTCCTCGATGACCATGCAAATTTCAACTTTTCGTTGTCCTGAACACAAAATCGAACTAAAAATAAAACTTTCCGGATTTAAATCGCGTATATTTGCTTTTTCAAACAAACTCATACACATAACACAAACATTTTTAACAAACCCAACAAACACTCAAATCCGGAAAAATAGTTAATTTCCTATGTGTAACAATCGCGAAAACCTAAGAACTCGATAAATAAAACTTTGTCATGTCTTTATGATACAACCAATTTGAAAATTATATTCCAGCTCTGAAATAAAAATCGTGTTACATGGTGTGTTTTTACGGGAGAATCGGCAGCCTCCTAGGATATTTAGTAGCAGTAGAGCTCCTTGTGAAAGAATTCGTCCAGGGAAGTACGTACTGCCATCTTACCTGTTTCTACCGCCAAGCAGTAATGTCAGTATCTGTACAGTAGTGTTCCGGGTTTGAAGGGTAATGGTGCCGGTGAAATTACAGGCACATGGGACTTGTCAACTTATGTCTCAGGGTGATGAGCGCAGTGGCAGTACCCCTCAGATATTTGCGATTTAAAGTTCTGAGTGGCACTGCAACTGTTATGGATAGACGTGTAGCTTACTATTAGGCGCACGACTTGTTCGTCCCGACTTGATAATTACAAAAAAAATAATAACCATTTTTACACAGTTTACATTACACACGGAAGATAGAAAACATTACATAATTGAACATGTGACACTTTACAACTAACATAGTATTATCTCAAAAATTGTGTTATATTTTATCTCAATATTGCGTTATATTAATAATTTATCTCCAAAATTTCGCTATATTTGTATGTCATTCGTATACGATTTAAATTCACAGGACAACACTGTCGCTTTGAAATTAAATAGGTAATATTAATATAACTTAGAGCAATTTTGAGATAATACTATGTTAGTTGTGATGTGCGATGTGTTGAATACAAACGAACTGGCGTATATTTCACGTACATCTGCATAAGGATGTTTACGTAATAGGTATTTTTCTTACGAGTGGAATAGATACAATTAATCAACATTGTTATATGCATGTACGAATGGTAATGTCCCGTATAGTTGTGAGTGATTCAACATTAGCAGATAAATGTGGCAGGACAGTACCTACTTAGGTATTTAAATCAGGCCCTTAAATTTGGGGCTAAAAATTGTGTTTAAAGCTATCTTTATCTTAAAATATAAAATTGCACAAAAACCAAATAGCAAGTAGTTAAAAGTAGTAGATGATGTTGGAGTTTATGAAAGGAACCGCCCTGCATGACTAACCATTCTTTTCCTGGAGGTCTGGCACACCCGGGAAGATAATCGTCAAATAAATTACCCCGATTAGCAAATATTTTCATCACGTTGGCAAACATTATAGTGTATGTCACCAATACGATAAGAAGAAGAAGAAGGAGAGATAGATGACGATAACCAGTATTTTACTGATTACCTGTGCGTACATCATTCTACATTATTATTTCTGTTCTCATAAGTATAACGTGGTTTAGAAATTACTAGAAAGCAAAAATTACTTTCCTCAGAATCATTTCAAATACTTGCAATTGACAACGAATGAGAATGGATAGAAAAGACAGCCCTTAAGTTGTCCACTGCCACTTACAAGTCAACTATGACCATAAAGCGTGAAATCGCTCTGGTGTACCTGAAAAAGAAAACAAAGTTATGCCAAGGCAAGGTAGAAATAAGTAAGTAATGATAAGTAATGATTAGTGTTTAATCAATAAACACGAAAATCTTGAAACATAATATAAACATTTTTAAAATATAATCATAATTATATTATCAAAAATAATGCAATAGGTTTCATATTTTATTATTGTCCTAAAATAAAAATTAAATAAATGACAGTCATATCATTTATTTACACACAGGTACAATCGAAAATAAGATCTTGTGCTATGCGCGCTAGAGCATATTTTTATTACGACTGCAACTCGTACATAAACTAATTTTCAAAATAACAAACACTAAAAAAATTAATTTATAATTATAAAACCAGACACTTATGCTCTCCGTTTTTCAGTAGAGCTGTAGAGCTCCTTGTGAAAGAGTTCGTCCAGGGAAGTACTGCCACCTTACCTATTCCTGCCGCCAAGCATTAATGTCAGCATTACTGTGTTAAGGTTTTGAAGGGTAAGGGTGCTGGTGAAATTACATGCACATGGGACTTGTCAACTTATGTCTCAAGGTGATGGCCGCAGTGCCCCTCAGATCTTTACGATTTAAAGCTCTGAGTGGCACTGCAAATACTATGGATAGACGTGTCGCTTACCACCAGGCGTTCCACTTGTTCGTCCGTCACTTGGTATTATACAAAAAATAGTTATTTATTTTTATAATGTAAAGCGACGGCGACGGGACGTTACATTAAACTGGTAATGTTGAATAAAACGATGGCACGATTAGACCGTAGTTAATAGTACCTTTTTTTATTACCCGAGGAAATCTGCTTACACATACCCCGGCCCTACCAGAGCCGGGGTTATGTGGGACTGGGCTGAACCCTGACCGGGAGCAGAGACACAACGGTCCCCCAACTTTAATGTAAGGCTCGTAGAACACCAGACGAGTCTTCCATCTCGGGGCCCAAGGCGGAAACCCATTCAGGGGGGAGTTAATAGTACCTAAATGAACTGAACACAGAGTCCTAAAATTTACAATTCCGATAATTGCTGTTTACTTTACCATGACCGTATTATTCGATTCACGCGTAATCATTTCTTTAATTTTTTGAAACTCATCTCATTTAACCTATTTTAAAAAAGGGAGGTTCTCAATGCGACTGTTATTTTTGTGTATATATTACGCGATTACTCCAATATTTGTGACCCGATTTCGATATTTTTTTTTGTTGGAATGTTGTATCTCAATGTATCTTCAAATTTTAAAAATATATTTCACCCCTAGGGTGCAGATTAGAGGATGATTTCGTTTTATTGGATTGAAGCACTTAATAAACTTAGCAAATAGATGTTATTCCAAACTTTTGAGATCGGTTCTTTCATAATCGAAAATATTGTAGGATATTATACACACCATTTGGTATTGTGTACTTTGGGGGTATGGTGGGTCTCTGACACAAATTGGAAGCAAGAACCTTTCATTTCCCTCCA